ATTACATAGACTAAAGAGACATCGATCTTTCATGGAGTTTTGGAAAGAAACGAATCCTCTCCAACAGTTGGTTCTAATCTAAGCAAAAAAAAAAAACTCTCGATCTGACACCCAGCAACCACCACCACCACCACCACCAGCCACCCAACCACCACCGCAACCCACCACCACCCAGCCACCACCAAACAGAGCAAAACCCACCAACACCCAGCAACCACCACCAGCCACCCAACCTCCACCAAAACCCACCACCACCTAGCCACCACCAAACAGAGCAAAACCTACCACCACCAGCCAACCAACCTCCACCTTAACAAGGATGGCTCCTCTGTTTTTTCCGTCTCTCCCACCTTGAACCAGTACCACCATTGTTGTGACATCCTGCACCCATCTCTTATATCTTCTTCACTGTTTCCCCTATCCTCTGTTTTTGGCTGCCCACCCACCTCCATTTTTCTAACGGTGCCCTATTACATCCCACAGTCACTCTCACTTCTGACACAAGCATCCTTATATCAACCGACTCAACACCGTATTCCTTCTTTGTTACTTTACCAGACACCTATTTACGCTAGTTCATGCACACCTACTTGAAAATTTTAAGTTTTTTTTTAATTTTATTTTTATAATAACCTTGATCAAAATATCATTAAAAGATCATATAGGAATTTTCAAAAATGTTGTGCATATATGTGTTCACGTGGACTATTTTGAATTATAATTATAATTTTTAGTTTTTTATTTTTGGACAAGTTACAAATATCAACATATATTTGATTGTGAAAACATCTTTGATGGGGTCAATTTTTTTTTTTTAGGGAGGGGAACTTTTGAATTCAAGAAGGCAAAACCTTCATAAAGAAAGGAAGGAAATGAGTGCTATTGGATCAAAGACCCGTTGGGAATGGAGTCACTTGCATAGTGAAGGTCTAACCAAATATAATTGCACCCGATTATGATGATGCAAAAAAATCACAACCCCAATAATACATATGTATGATTAATACATAACAATGTTGTCTAACATAAACTGGCTGATGAAGAGCAAAATCATACTCGGTCCATGGAATGAAGAGACAGGTGAATTAAGTTAATAAATTACGTCAAATTTTTAGATCTCAATAGCATTACTCTTAAATTATATACAACAATCACATTGGTGAATGCCAAACAAAGTTAAGGGCTAAAAAATGTTAAACAAACCCACACCTAATGTTTGGTTCCGGTTCACATCAACGATCATTATAGTCTTATTTTTTATTCTACCAAAAAAATCTCTTAGATATTTGATCGATAATCAAATTTCAGCTATTGGTCAGGAATCCTAATAATCAAATCTGTTGATTTGTATGTCAAATCGGTTCATACAAATCTTGATTAGGTTTAAGTTTGACAGATAAATAATTTAAAACAAGCGAATTTTGAGTGCAACAATATACAATAATTTTGAAAACTCATGACTTATAATGATATATAGGACTCACTTTCCAAAAACATATAGTTGATTTTCATTGTCACGTTAATCAAATCATGTGATGCTTCTTTTTTTTTTTTTTTTTGTGTAATCCAACATATTTAAATCTCGTTCTTTTTCTATGTGGTGGTGTGGGTGGGAAGCATTCACATAGAATCCAACCATGGAAGTGACTCATAGCATATAGTGCACACAAGGCTAGTTTTTGAAAGTTGTTTGGGGCAGCTAAAAAAAAAAGTTGTTTGGGATATGTGTGGAGGTAGTCATGTCACCTGCCAATTTCCCTTTTCCTTTGTCACTTTTAGGTCAGCAATGGCTTACCCATGAACTAAATAATAATGAGGTCAGACCACCTTAAACTTCGAGAAATTCCAAAAGAGTCAAAGATATAACTTGATTTCTGTTTCTTTCTTTTAGTTTCTTTTGTTACAGTATTACTTTGAATAAAAATAAAACTAAAGATGACCCTTGTCATAAGTGTTCAACGTTCGAGATATGAAATAATGTCTCCATTCTTCAATCGACAAAAGAAACTAAAAGATAGATTATCTTACAAGCACACAGTCTTATACACAATGGGAGAAGGAATTGTGGACACGTTACGGGTATGTACAAAGTAAACATAGAAAACACTGTATAACATCAGTTGGCTTAACTTTTTGATAACATATTGTGCTTACAAAGTGTATTCAAAAGATGTATAATAGAATTCATCAGGCAAACACTTCTAAACTTTCATGTGATTGACTAATGATTGAGAATGACTTTTTAGAAAGTTGATTTTTTTCCCATATTTGGATTTTCTATCATCTAATCTATCAGTTTTCTATAAGAAAATCAAACTTTTATTATGAGAGAGAAAGTACAACAATGGTGGACAATCCAACAATTCACATAGTAACGAAAAAATAAAACAGTTGCAATAAAGATTAAAAATCTGAATACAGTTAGACAAAACTTCAATCATGGATTGTTGTCCCTCTCATTATGAAAAATTAAGAAGGATATGTTTTGAAACTCTTAGTATCCAATAACCATAGACAAGGCAAGAATTTTACTTTTTTCAAAGGAAATAATCAGCTAATATCACATAAGTAGCCATGTTGAACCTTCCAGATAGCAAAAGAAGTTTAAATACTACGTTTTTTGGAGAATACCCATTTCTCACATTATAAGACACAACTGATCCTTGGCAAGAAGTTACACCATATTTACTACATGATAAAGACACAAGTTGACAAAATCAATGGCATACCTAGTGACAATAGGGTAAGAAAACAAATTCCAGTTGTGCAAATTTTCCAGTCTATATATATAAAGTGCATATATATATTGAAACAACAATACATACCTTGAAAGTTATGTTGCTTCTGCCTTTGTAATTTATGCTCCAACAAAACAAAAATTCTAAGAATAGACACACAGTGAGTTTTAGATTTCAAGGCCTGCATGCATGATATTTACAGATGTCAGTAACAAAGCAAGTGGTTTCAAAGAATTGGGGTCAAATAAAAGATCCATAATTCCAATCTTCTTCTTGCTCAAGAACTCATCTATTACATAAGCTCCAACATTATGGCACAAAAACTGGTTGTTATATTAAGATCATTATGACAACACAATGAGGATGCCTATCCAACGTAGAAAAGCATTGAAAATAGTACCACGATGGGAGAATGTTATCACAATACATTTTAAGCAAGCAAACTCTAGCGAATATCCTCTTATCAATACAAGACAATTCCAAAACATCATCAAGCTGCAAAACGTGCAAGAAAAAAATATTATTTACATGTCTACACATCCCTATATATGTGCTCCAGTTCAAAACATGGAAACAACAAAATCTTTCCTAAAGATGCCCCTTATCTTCGAAAAAGAATCAATTGCTTATCAGGCTTAGAAACAATATAGACTTAACCATGAAATAAAGAAAAAATAGATCGCTCACTGTTACAAGGTTATTGCCATCTACTGTGTGGATTGCTAACGATTGAATATACTTCAATATTTCATCGAACTATTGACGAAAACCAAAAGGCCGGAAGGGATGAGAAGGGACAGGACCAACATGATTGCTGACACTCTGTTACTCCACATGTTTTGAAATTTGGAAAGACATGGTCCAAGTATGTATAGTAGAAATGTTGGTGGGTAAGCATAGATATAAATAGATAGTTATAGATAAATTTTATTTGTAGTATAAATACAAAGACATCAAAATGGCAGCTCAAGCATCGACAATTTTTTTTCTTAAGAATTTCAACAGTCTGCGTTACTATAGCAATTACCTATAATTTAATAATGTTAGTAAATACCAAAAAATAGGATTGACCTTAACTATTTTGGTCAAACAAAAGTTTTTCACTTTTTGGTGCTTTTATAAGTAGTATAGATTAATGCCTCACCCAACCAATTTTCCTTCTATACTCACCCATTAACTAACCCATTTGTCAGCTCACTTTACTGATGGAATCACCCAATTAGTCACTCAGCCCAAACAAAAACCATGACATTAACCCCTCCTTGATGTCTGGTGAAGAAGCAGCTTTGGAGGGCCAAGGGCAGATAGGGAAACAAAAAGGGGCAAACCACAGCCAAATTAATGAAGTTGGTACTATTCCTGAGGGTATAGCATAGGCTCTTATTAGCAAAGGGAAATCGGAAGCCATAGCTCAGGTGGACCTACATAGAGAGGCTCCTACACTAGTAAGTAACAGGCAGTAGAGACAGGGTCCACTCAAGGGGTCTTGGAGCCAAGTTGTGAAGGTAGGTAGAGGAGGTAATCCCCAAGAAGGAAACTTAGCTAATGGGGAAAAACAACAAATCATGAAGTTAAAGTATTTCAAACCTTGCAAGGAAAATGATAGAATTGTTGTCAAGCCACCATCAGAAATCGAAAAACAGGGATGTCTTGAGTGGCAAAGTTGCCTGGTGGGGGTATTTTATAGAGAGGAAGCTGCCTTATTCCACAGTTAGCTTCATTACTCACAAGGTTTGGGATAGGATGAGTTTGTTGGAGGTTCTTGTAAATGGGAATGATTTGTACTATTTTAAGTTCATGGATGAGGAATCCCGAACTAAGGTGTTTGAGGCTGACCCTTGGTTATTCTCAGGGAGGCCACTCATTTTGAAGTAATGGACCCCTGACCTATTATTTACCAAAAAGGATCATTCCACCATTCCTCTTTGGGTCAAGTTTTATAATATTCCACTGCAATCTTGGAGTGAGGATGGGCTTAGCCATATAGCTAGTGCAGTTAGTACTCCTTTGTATGTTGACACCATGACTACCAACAAAAAGAAGCTTAACTTTGCAAGGGTCTGCATTGAGGTGAGTGCTGATGCCGATATTGTGGAAGAGTTTGATTTGAGGATGGATTTGGAAGACAAAACAGATACGGTAGAAAAAAAGGTGGAGTATTAGTGGAAGCCAATTTTTTGTCATTCTTGTAAAGTGTTTGGTCACAACGAAGGTTATTGTTCACAAAAAGGAGCATTTCAATCTTCTTAGAATAAGCCAGACATGAATATTAATAGTAGTAGGGATAAGGGGAAAGCCATTATAACCCCAAGGAGGGATGTGGAAGGATCCATAGGGGTTCCACAGTGCTCTAATGGGTCACAAGATGATACCCATGTAACTACTAACACTATTATTGCTATTATTGTGAGTGATAAAAATCATGCAGAGCTGTCTGCTAAGCCAATTCAATCCTCTAACAAATTTGAAAGCTTAAATTTTGAAGGAGGTGAAATTATTGTGGATTTATCCCCAGCCCCTGGTACTAATAGTGGTTATGTTGCTATTTTCAAGAGACAAGTTATGGAGGTCGAATCCATGGGGCACAAACTAGAGGTGGAATATGCTTGAGGGAGAACATAAAAAGAAGAAGGCAAAGAAGAAAGGCAATAAACAGGGGAAATGAAAGGTGTTAGAGCACCTCAAAACCAAAAAACCTCTACTATTATGTTAAAAGTTTCTTGTTGGAATGTGAGAGGGTTGAATAAGCCCTAGAAGCAGGGAGAAGTTAGGAAATTGATCAGGGATCAACACTTGGATTTATTAAGTCTTGTGGAAACCAAGATTAGAAGTATTAATAAGGATGTGGCTATGAGAAATGTGTTTGGACAATGGGAACATGTGGACATTACAATTGCCACAATAGAGGTAAGATTTGGGTTGGGTGGAACCCTCATACTTTAAAAGTGAATAAAATCTCCGCAACTGAGCAAGTTATTCATTGTTTTGTACACCACTTGGAGACAAATGACTCATTTTATGTTTCCTTTGTGTATGGCTCTAACGAGGAACAAGATAGAAGACATCTTTGGGGTAATCTGATTTATCATATTGGAATGTTTGCCTCTTTACCTTGGACTATTCTAGGGGACTTTAATGCCATTAGACACACTCAAGAATCGATGGGCTGTTTTGGTAAATGGTGCTAGTCCAATGAAGACTTTGATGATTGTCTACAACGAGCTGAATTAGTGGATCTCAAGTTCTCTGGTTGCCTATTGACATGGAATGATCACAAAATTGAGGCAGACTATATTGTCAGGAAGCTGGATAGGGTGCTGGTGAATGAAGAATGTAATATCAAATTTCAACAATCTGGGGCTATTTTTTTACACCAGGAATGTCAGATCATAGCCCTGGTTTACTTAAGATTGGTCAAGAAAAAAGGAAAAGAAGAAGTCCTTTCAAGTTCTTTAACTTGATGGTTGAGAGGTTGGATTTCCTACCTATAGTTGAACAAATTTGGAGGGAACCCATCCAAGGAACTCTTCAATACTAGGTGTGCTACAAATTGAAGAAACTCAGGGAATCATTCAAGACAAAGAGCAGAGAGCTTGGTGATGTTTCAAATAGGGAAAGGGAAGCAAAAAAGGCCTTAGAAAATTGGCAGAGAGGATTAGCTACTGATCCACTTAACAATAATTTGAGACTTAAGGAGAGGCAACTTCTTGCTACCTAGTTAACAACTGCTAGAATTGAGGAATCTTTCCTTAAACAGAAGTTCAGGGTTTTGTGGTTGAATGAAGGTGACAAAAACACAAGTTACTTTTTCAAAACCATAACAAAGCGAAGGAATAGAAAGAGGATTTTATCCTTGCAAATAGAAGATGGCGAATTTATTGAGGGTGAGAGTGCTGTTAAGCAAGAGGTTGTTTCATTTTACCAACATCTGCTGGGTACCAATAGTCTTACATTAAGCTCCTAGGATAGGAGTAACTTACTAGAAAACATTGTGCAACAGAAGTTATTAGAGCAGCAAGCGTTTGATATGGTAAGGGATGTTACTACAAAGGAGATAAAGGAAGTCTTATTCTCTTTTAATGACCAAAAGGCTCCTGGTCCAGATGGTTTCAATGCCTATTTCTACAAGAAAGCTTGGCCTGTTATTGGAGAGGACATTACAACTGCCATAAAAGAGTTCTTTTCTAATGGGATCCTATTGAAGGAGTTCAATGCCACCATCATCACATTGGTTCCTAAAATTCCTAATGCATCATGTATGGGGGAGTTTAGGCCTATTTCCTGCTGCAATGTGTTTTACAAAGCTATCTTAAAGCTTATTCCTAACAAAATCAAAGATGCACTGAAGGATATAATTAGCCTCAATCAATCAGCTTTCATCCCTGGAAGAAGGATCAGCGATAACATTCTTTTGTCCCAAGAGATTATGAGGGATTACCATAAAGGTGGAGGGTCACCTAGATGTGCTGTCAAGGTGGACCTTATGAAGACCTATGATACATTGGATTGAGACTTTATGATGGACACCTTAGGTGCCTTTAATGTTCCAGTTATAATGAGGAAGTGGATATGGTCCTGCATTACTTCTCCTAAGTTCTCAGTTAACATTAATGGAGAACTTGAAGGTTTTTTTCCAAACGTGAGAGGATTGAGGAAGGGGGACCCTATTTCCCCCTACCTCTTTGTTATGGCCATGGAAGTGCTTACGTTGATTGTTCAACATAACATCAGGTTTAATAACAAATTTAAATACCACTATAGCTGCAAGAAGGTGAAACTCTATCAGTTAACATTTGCTGAAGACCTGTTGATGTTTTGTTATAGGGATATTAGCTCTATCTCCATATTGAAGATGACTATTGACCAGTTTAAGTGGGTGTCTGGTCTACAAGCCAATCCTACCAAAAGTAATCTATTCATGGCGGCAATCCAATCACAAGTAATGGAGCAGATCAAGTTAATTTTTGGTTTCCCTGTGGGCTGCCTCCCTATCAAACACCTTGGAGTGCCTCTAATCTCTACTAGATTGAAAATCACACATTGCACTACCCTCATTGATAAAATTGAAAGTAGAGTGAAGGAGTGGACTAATAGATTCTTATTTTATGTAGGCAGGCTGCAACTTATAATCTCTGTCCTTTGTAACATGCACATCTTCTGGGCAGCTCACCTCATCTTACCATAACAAGTTTTGGATTGAGTTGAACAAGTCATGCGGGCTTTTTTATGGAAGGGGGTTGATCTTAAAACTACTGGGGCCAAAATTGCTTGGAAGGATGTGTGTAGGCCAAAGCAAGAAGGAGGTCTAGGTATTAAATGCCTAAAAGTTTGGAATGCAGCTCTCATGTTGAGGCATTTATGGATTATCTTTGACGACAAAGAGAACTTATGGGCTAAATGGATTCACACTTACCACTTGAAGGAGAGGTCCCTTTGGGTGGTAAGACCATCAAGCAGCAGTTTATAGAATTGGCAGAATATGTTAAAGTTGAGAGACCGGATTAGACCTCACTTGATCTACACTATAGGGAATGGAGAGACGGCAAGTCTATAGTATGGCAATTGGCACCCAAGAGTGGGACCATATAATTATTGCTGATTCTGGTTTATCACGGGAGGCTAAAATGAGCAGTGTTATTTGTAACAACCAGTGGCAGTGGCCGCATTCTCCAACAGTTGATTTACGTGATATACCTAGCACTATACCTTCCTATGCCCCAAACCAGGCCAAAGTGGACAGTGTCAAGTGGGCTCCTTCTGTCAATGGCAAGTTTTCTGTTGCATCTGCTTGGGAACTTATTAGGAACCCTAACCCAAAAGTGTCATGGTTTAAACTGGTTTGGTTCAGACAAGTAGTTCTCAGAATGAGTTTCATATTATGGTTGGTTGTTTATGAAAGGCTCAGTACTAAGGATAGGACTTTTAATCATAGCGTGAGTACGAACTGCATTTTGTGCAGAGGACTACTGAAACACATGCCCACCTTTGCTTTGAGTGCACCTATTCTCATAGTGTTTGGCTTCATCTACAGAATATGCTCACTCAATCTTGGCAACCCAAGACTTGGTTGGTGTTTATTGCTTGGGCTGCTCAGCATTGGATTGAGCCTTCAAGCCTATGGAGAGAAAGAAACAACAGATTGTTTAGGAACGAATTTAAAGATCTTGAATCAACTTTGTACAACATTTTGCAAATCATCAGGGAAAGGATGATGTCCTTGAAGTTTAGAAATTCCTATTAGAATCAACAAGTGGCTCTACAGTGGCAATTACCTGCCCATTGTCTTAACCCTTGATTCTATTTTGCAGTCCCCTGTTCATGGTGGCCTTTTGTCTTCTCTGTTCCTTTGTGTCAGGTTTCTTGCTTTGGCAATGGGTTGCAGTATGCTTGTGGCGACTGCTGTTGTTATTGCATGTATGATACAAGCAAGTTTTGGTGTTGCAGAAATTGTTCCAGTCCTTTGATCTGTGATGCCGTCCCTTGTTCTAGACCTCTGTTCCTTTGGGTCTGGACTCTAATGAGGAGCATCATTGGGAAGCAGTATGCTTGTGGCAACAGTTGCTTGCTTGTTTGCTACAGGCTTGTTTTTGGTGTGGTGCTCTCTTGTTGGAGTGTGGAGTGACTTGAAATAGTAGGTTTTAAAGTCTTGCTTCAAGTCAATTTAATATCCACCACCAGACCGCAAGAAGAAAGGCCAACATTTACACAAATTTTATAATGTTAGAGAGCATTGTGTTGTCCTGGGCTGCTTTGCTGGTGCTGTTTTTTGCTTGATGTTTGTTGACTCTAAACCTTTGGTGTGTTCTGTTGGTGCTGATTTTGGCTACTGCAAATGGCTTGCTATGGAATCACATGATCTTGCATATCAGTGGAGTTTTGGGGCGGAATTGGTCCTTGTTCGGTTTTATTGATCGAGTTGGATGAATTGGTTTCATGCACTGTTTTTGTATAANTATCAGTGGAGTTTTGGGGTGGAATTGGTCCTTGTTCGATTTTATTGATCGAGTTAGATGAATTGGTTTCATGCTCTGTTTTTTGTATATCAATGTTTTCTTGTCAACANGTTTTATTGATCGAGTTGGATGAATTGGTTTCATGCACTGTTTTTGTATAACAATGTTTTTTTGTCAACAATATTCTTACTCAGGGCATCTCTTACAGAATTGTGTTTTGAACCGTAGCGTTTTTGGATTTTTTTATGTTTGTCTCTGAATCATATGTGACTTCATTGTACATTTTGTGAGTGATTACCCTTTGTATATTAATACATTTTATCTTCCGAAAAAAAAAAGACATCACTCTTTCGTTGACAATGTGTCTTAATAATAGTATTTTAAAACAGAGGAAATGGAGACGTGAGTTACAAGATAGATATTATCGAATTTGTTACAGCTGTTGATTCAATTTATAATCTAATAATCGACATGTAGTTACCCTAACATCATAATGTAGTCATAAGAGCCCAAGAAGAACCAGTCCTGGACCAAGCACCACTTCCAATAGATCCTAAACTTTTGGAGGAGTGGATAAAAGTTCATCAACCAACCTGAACTTTTTGCCACAATCAATGCAATGTTTTGTCAAAATATGCACGTATCATCTTATGTGTTCATAAAAAAAAAAAAATAAAAAAAAAATTTCACTAATAGTATATGTATCCAAAAGGTTGAACTAAACTATTAACCTAAAGATATGACATTGACGTGATGGTTCTATAGCATTACTGTAATTATTGAATTTTTTCGTTACGATTTTATTGTTTAACATATCATTATTATATTAATAAATTCGGTTGAATCTTTAGTTCTATAGCATTACTCTTAAGTCTTAACAATCATAGAATTGCTGGCGAAGCATTGCTGAGGAATTATTGCGATAATTCTATTCATTTCACATAAGTAAAGCTAAAGGGTGTCATCTTATTACAGATAATTAGGGGTTCGGTTGCAAATTAGTATGGTGAGTTTATTACAAAATAGGATCGTTTGAGATTGAGCATATAAGATTATCATCGATTCTAATGGTCTGTTTGGTAGGAAAGATGAAAATTAGGAAGGATAGAAAATATGAGGGATACACTTTTTATCCTTCAAGGATGAAAAATAGGAAGGATATTCTTTCCTTCTTTTGTGTTTGGTAGGATGGATGAAAAATAAAAATTACAATTTTTTTTTTGTGCTAGCTAAGATTAGAGGTGACAATCGAGTCGTGTCGTATCAGATTCGTGTTGAGTCATTACGGGTTTGTGTCGAATATTAGTCAAACCTAACTTAACTCATTTAATTAATTGTGTCGTGTCGAGTTGCGAGTTGACATATTTATTTTCGTATCGAGTTTAAGTCGTATCATTATGTTGAGTCGAAAACTTTTACCCTTAGTTAAGATGGAAACAATATTTTTTTTAATTTAAATTTTAAATTTTTAAATTTTTTAAAAATTTTGTTTTAAAATTTTTTAATATATATATATACATATTTTACTATTGTATTTTTATATAAAATTAATGTATACATAATATATGTATAAATAAAAAGATATATAGACAAATAAGATACATCTTAATATAAATAATTAACTTTTCATCTACTTTCCTTCCGATTTTAAAGAGATTAATTTTGGTGAGTTGGAAGGAAAGTTAATTCATTTACTTTTCTATCCTTCTAACTTTTCTTCCTTACAATACATGATGTTTTATTTATCCTTCCAATTTTTCATTCTCTCACTTTTTCATCGTATCAAACAGAGTATAACATTTTTTTTGAATTGTAATATTATTCGTTTAAAGATTAATTATTTATTTTAAATAATAATTTAATCAAATGAATTGTAATTAACCCTATTGGGCCAATTGACTTCGTTACTCATGGTTGAGTTTCGATCAAATGACTATGTTGACTTGTTGAGACAACCATTGTTGCTGGGACGTACGGAAACATGCACTTCTTTTGGCGGATTCATGAAGACAACTTTTGTAAAATCTAATCATGGGACTTTGTAATAGCCACTGCCAACCCAGGTTTTGTATTATCTGAGATTGACCCCCTCCTAGCTTTGTCAATGGATCGATTGTGACTCGAATTCGTTCGGTTAGAATTGAATTCTTTAACTTATAGAAATATAAAAACAATTAAGACTGATTGAATTTTTATTTATTTTAATTTAATAATATAAAGTTTAGTCCGAAATATTTTTTCTCGCTCAAAACATCATTTTTTTATACGGCTTCCAATATCAAATAACTCAATCAATATACGTCTCAATATCAAACAACTTCAATAATTCACAACTACCTATCTCTTTTCTATCCCATGCCTTTATCTTATTTTCTATCTATTTATTTTAATTTTAAATTATGTAATTAAAAAGTTACTATTTAAAATATAAATATTGCACGGTCAATATTCTATTTTTTGTATTGTAGAGTGTCTCCAGATGCGAATTTATCGCTAATAAATTAATATTTTTGGTCAATTATGTAAATTTAAATTCGAATTCATCCAATTTGTTTAGATCTGAAATATGTGTACATAATAATAATAATAATAATAATAATATTGAGTGATTATTTGATTAAAGAAAAATTGAAATTAAGATTTAATTTACTATAGAATTCAATTTTAATAGAGTTATTCGGATAACATGGATTATTGGATTGCATTTTTGAGTTTTATTAGATTCTATATAAAATATGAACGTAGAATCAACGAATTTTGGAGTTTTAAACTGAATTTTTATGGTGCATCAAAAGGAAACCCGAGATAGCCAGGAAGTGGGGTCCTATTTTTATTGGTTGTGTACAAATATGGAAGCAAAATAACGGCTCTATTGGATGGATTATAGCTTTTATTGGACTAGCAATGCATCACATGCATTACGTGTAAATAAATTTAAATAATAATTTTTATAAAAAAATGTGAATTATATATATAATTAAATTAAATAATAAATTTGATGTCGGTTAATTAATTCATATTTTAATTATTATTAATTATATTTATTAGTTTATTTTATAAATCTTTGAGTACTTATTTTTTTTGAGTACTTCATCTGCTATTTGTTTTAGGCATTTGTAGATCTAATTACATTGTAGAGAGTTCAAAAACAAGTTGAAATTCAAATAAGAGTAAAAAACAAAAATTAGATGAAAGTATATAAGTGTGTATAATTGACTTTATTATAATAATTAAGAACAAAATAGAAACTTAAAAGTTTTTTGCAAATACTGACATTTATAAATAATATATATAGATTATGGCTTGGAGAATTATCCACCAATTATTGAATCTGACTCTCAGAATTTGGTAGATATGGTTAAGCAAGATTATCTCCTTTCTTGGCAATACTGGACTCTATTAAGCAAGATCTAATCATGGGATTTGATTTTCAATTTTATCATATCTATAGACAAGGTTGTCAAGAAACATATAATATGTTGTGGAAACGTAGGATTAAAGATATACCTTATTCGCTTTAATCAAAAAATTATTTGATGATGTTCCAAGTACTTTAGAATCCAAATTAATGTCTTTTTTTTAATTGCTCGACCAATATAGTGTTGCTACATAATAGGAATTAACACCGAATTTTCACAGCACAAAAGTCTTTCAATATTTTGTAGGGAGAGAGAGAAATAGAGTAGGTAAATGAGATGTCTCATCTATTGGATTGTCTTGGGTTTATATAGGCAACCAATAGGTGTCATTAAGAGACACTTCATATAGGAACATGTCTGTTAATATTTAACAGATATGTATTTTAGATGAATGATACCTTTTGATAAAGGATACCTCCAAAAGACATATCCCTATAGTCATTCTTTAATTTGGGTCAACCCACCATGGGCGCCCCGGTTTGGGTCCATGACCCAACTAATATCTAACATCTCCCACTCGCACGTGGTGGGTACGACACTGTCATCTATCTCAATCTATTATATACATCAACATCAATTCATACAGGCTAATGGGCCATGAGACTGCTGAGCACACCTGCAATATGGGAGCTCTACACTATAAACTATACAGAGCCAGTATAGAGACATCAACCCTAAAAAAATGAAAATAGTGTCTCAAGTACTCTAGACCCATTCGGATACACCGGTTCAAGTATCTCTAATCCCTCTCAATATAAGAGCATGCATAACCCTCGAAATCTTCGCCTATATATATTCATACTTTGTCACTATCTAAATTAGTGCCCAAAATTGTCGACAGTGAATATATTGCGGGATGTTCCAAATGGTCTTCTTTTGGCCCTTATGTCACTTAGTTCAAAATTAATTGCTTTCCCAACAATGTCCCGAAAGGCTGAATCACTCATGGCCGTAAGTAACATGCCAAAGTAGCTGAGCATTAATTCTTTCACTTTATGACATAGCTAAAAGTCAAATAGTACATAGAATGTTTGGTTAAACAAAATAACCTGGTCATGTTAAAAATGACTCGGAGGGCTCACATAGTGAGGA